GGTTCTGCAGTGTTTAAAGCAGTAAAAAGTAGCAAAACCATATTGCTTGTTACTAAAAAGGGACAATAAAGCTGAATACACGCAGGGAACAGATCTGCTGAACCAGAAGGCGCCATTTTTACATAATCACTTTTCAAGGAATATCAACTCCTTATGTAACTCCCCAATAGGGAGCCCAGATGCATGCAGTAAATATATCCAAAATTGCAGTCACAGTAAAAAATACAGATATTCAGATGCAGGAAGCAGATAAGAAAAAAAAAAGATTAGAAAGTGTCATTTGGGCCAGATCCTAAGATGGTGTAAATCAGCAAAGCTTCATTGATTTCAGTGGAGCTACCATCAATTTACACCAGCTTAGGATCTGGGCGTTTGCCAACTGAAATGCAATCCCTGATGAGGCCTGCACAAGAGTGGCTAAATATCACCAACCAAAACTGAAACATGATACGATAGGCAAGTGAATATTGTCAGAGATGCTTTTAAGAACCCATTGAACCAGGGAAAATATAACCGAGCCAAAAATAATAGGATACTGTGCCCAATCAATACTGCGGAAAGCAATGTACCTACATGGGGAGTGCTACTTTTAATTTTTATTATTAGCATGTGCAGCAATTTATTCACGTGAATAATGAACCTTGTGCACAGGGCTTTTCACAAGCATTTTCCCACATGGTCACAATTTATCACAGGTTCTCTCATGACAGCTGATGATAAATTGGCCGAGTTGCAGAAAGAGGTATAAAATACAAGAAGTTTTGTTTATTAGATAAATACAATTTGACTGCCCATGTTATTTGAAATAACAACTGAATTATATAATGAGATTAAGCCATGTCATATCTGTCGCCTGAATGTCCCAAGTGATACAAATTGCTCGGCTGCTGCTGTCGGTGCCTCCTTCATAAAGCATCCTGATGACAAGATGATGAATTGAAGATATCATTGCCAATTAATGATTTTTAGACAGAAGGGATTTCAATTGTTCCCTTATGTTTGTGAGGGTGAGTGACATTTGCATCATCTCTAATAAAAGAATGTAGTCTGCTATTGTCCAGACAAGATGTTATGACTCAGTGAACATTATCTTTGGAAGGGAAATGCCAATAAACAAATTCAAGTTCTTTTGTGGTAGAAACACAGCAGGGTATTGTTCCAGGGCCAAGTATAGCTGCAAAATAATCCGCATTACGTGGCTCAAGCCAAAATTAAAGCTCAGGGGGGAAATTTTCTTAAGTACCTAGGGCCCAGCTCCTCAGAGATATTTAGACACCCAACTCCCCTTGGTTTCAACAGGAGTTGGGCACCTAAATACCTTTGAGGATCTGGGCCCAAGGATCCTAAATGCCTCTGACTTGCAAGGGAATTAAGGATTTAGCACTACACCCAAGAGCTGCACTGCTTAATTATACCAGTACAGTGAAAGCAGTACCTCCTTAGTGTGACTCTGTTACACTGGCATAAAAGTGTTCATCCTGGCATAGCTATTCTCCTACAGGAAGGGGCACTATAATACTAACACTAGAGGTTACTCTGGTCTACAGCTTCTCTGTGGCCGTGGCCAGCTTTTCAAGGGCCGCGACAAGTTTGTGGTTTATTTAAAGTTGGTAGCTGTTAGTCTGGATAATCTTCATGGCAGCTGCTGACGACAGCAGCCCAGAAAGATCCACCAAAGCCAAAGCAGAATAGAGCAGCGGCTCTGGTAGCCAACGGAGCAGTGAGTGCGGGAGGGGAGGGAAATCTGTGGTTTGGTAACCAGAGGAAGTGCCCAACTGCTCTGGGTTACCATCACGTGGCACCCAATCAATGTTTATGTAAGTGGGGGAATGGTCCCACTATTGTGGGGAACTTTCCTGGCTTCTGCACGACCCCGGTGAAGTGGGCTAGTAAAAGGATCTGAGTCCTCACTCCCAATTCCTTTACCCAGAGGCCTCCCTGCCCTCGAGGACTCCCCTTCCACTCTCCTGTCTGGCAGTGTCCTCGTAACCCCAACGAGGCTGGGCCCAGGATTCCTGGGCGGCTCGACCCCCAACCCTGCTGTGGTCACTAGGAAGAGGCTAGGGTGTCCCCACTCCAGGGTGCTCTCTCTGCACTGGGCACTTCCCTGACCCACTGATCGTTACATATAATTTAAAGCAAATGCAAGTTATTTAATCAACAATTAATTTAAAAAAGAATAAGGAAAAATGGGAAAGGTTAAAGGAAACACATCACCCCGCTCTGTGGCAGGGAACATCACAAACAGCGTCTCTGGAATGCCCGGGCAGTTCACAGTCTGCTCCTTGTAAGTCCCAGGCCTCCTTCTCCGACCCTGGCTGTGCTGCAGGGATGCTGCGGGTTGGACATTTGCTCTGGTGGTGGCCACACACCTCCGGGCTTTGGGCGGTGGGACCCTTCTTCCCAGCATCAGCCCCCTGTCGGGTTAAGATCCCCTTCCCAGTCTGGCCTGCAAGGACCCTTGCAAGACACCCTGCAAGGCTGGGAGTGTCTTTCTGCGCTGGGCCCTTTGCCCAGGGCCCCCCCTTAGCTGGCCCCAGTTGCTCACCACACCCGGCTCCAGACTGCTCCAGCTCCGGCTCCACTCCGCCTCAGCACTGATGCTGCTGCTCTGCCTCCAGCCCCCTGGGCTGCTTCTCTGGCCCCTCTGGCTCTGTGGCCGCAGCCCTGCGCCCAGCACAGGATCTGCTCTCCCTGGGCTGTGTCTCTGGCCCCTCTGGATCTGGCACGACCCTGCTCCATAGCTCAGCTCAGGCCCCTGCTTTCTCCTTAGCTCAGCCCCACTATCTGACCCAGGCAATTCCAGCTCACACGGAGGACGAGCCCCCGCCAGCCTCCTGACTCCCTGATTAGCTGCCCGCCCCGTCAATCAGGCTGTCCTGGAGCATTGGCCTCTCCCCATTGCCCCGGGGACTGCTGCTCTCAGGGTCTGGATTTCCCATTGACCCTTCCCCTTTTGGTACTGGGAGCTAGCCAACCAAAACACCCCCACTGAATGTTAGTAAGGACAGTCCCCTTACATTTGCTATTTTGGGGCAATTTATGTTTAGCAGGCAGGCAGGTTCTTGCCAGTATGTCTGGCTACATTCCCTTGCCTGCAGCAATCAAGATTTCCTCTGTTTTGGCTGGTGCTGCTTGGTTCCTCTTGGGCCAAATGCTAAGCCAGACGCACCTCCCCCAGAGGTGGGGAATTCATTATCAGGGCAAGGGAGGAACAAGGGAGGCTAGGTCCGTCAGTATCTGCAGTGTGTTCAGAGAGAGGAACATCCTTGTAAAAGCAGGGTTTTTTATAACAAAAGACCTCTCCCCATAAAGTCAACTTCCCTACTCCCTCCCTCCTAGGAGACTTGTAAAAGGGACAACGGCTATCTCTGGTTTTCTCCCGAAGACTTGTGTGGAGTTTTGTGTGATCAACAACTGCATGATCAGGACCCTGGTTTGAGACATACCCAACGAGAACCCACCATGGGCACATGTCCTGCTCTCCTTACTCATCACAAACTCACACTTATTTCAGGCAGGAGGAAAGTGAACTCAACATGGTCTGTGCACTCAAAGGGAGACTACCCTACACACCAACAAACCATTAACAACATACAGCCAGCGGCCCACAAGCCAGCATGAGAAAATGTATTCAAGTTACAAGGGAATATGCGCATTCAAATTACAATTTACAAATAAAAATGCAAAGAAGCCACTAGTAAACACAAATTGCCTTGAAATGGCCTTTTGTCTGTGTTATCGGCAAATAGTTTTCTAATAAACCACCTATTATACACATAAAATTGAAGTGTAATTTTAAAAAACAAGCGTGTTATAATACAACAATGTTCCAGCAAATTCAGAAGTGTTTTATACTGGATTTATTTAGAAGTCCTCTTTTAGGATACTTACTTGGCATTAAATATATGTCTTAGCTAAGGCCCTGACCCTGCGATGTATTTATGCTTGCAGTGAGCTCAATGGGCTGCTCACAAGTGCAAAGTTCTGCACATGTGGAAGTTTTTTCCAGATCAGAGTCTAAGATAATATTTTAACTTTGAACAGCTGAGCACTGCGGTAGCAAAGCAACTGCAAGACAAAGCAGACAATTCCCATGATATGAAACTTCCCTTTTCTTGCTTTTTACAGAGTATTAAAAGGAGAGAGATACATTTGTATTAATTTACATATAATAAATTATGTCTTAATTTTGAAAACAAACTGTAAGGCTTCCAAGCAATAGTCCACAAGGGAGAAAACAAACCCTTAAACATTTTATCATCCGAAAACGCCCAAGTTCAAAAAATATATATAACCATTATAATGGGCCAGATTCTGATCCCTCATTCACACTGAATAGGATGTTACGCCACAAGAAGTAGCACTGGGCCAGATCAGCAGTGTATTAACGCCTAGGCTGACAAGGCCTAGGCCTAGGGCAGCAAATTTGCAGAGGCAGCAAATTTATAATAGCAAGGCTGCTTCCCCCGGTGCCGGTTCGCGCCATCCGCCCTTGGGCCCGCCCCAACTCCACCCCTTCCCCGCCCCCTCCCTGCCCCTATTGGTCCCCTTCCCCAAATCCCTGCCCCGGCCCTGCCTCCTCTCCTGAGCACGCCGCGTTCCCCCACTTCCCCAGACCGTTTCACGCACAAGCACCGGCAGGGAGCGGGGAGAAGCAGGGGCCCGGCGGCGCGCTCAGGGGAGGAGGCGGAAGCAGAGCAGAGGTGAGCTGGCGCAGGGCGGCAATTATTTCTGGGTCTAGGGGTGGCAAAATCATTAATCCGCCACTGGGCCAGATTCTGAACACTCTCAGCACTCTGGCAGTGGAAAGAGTCCTTTAACGAGGAGTTGATTACAGCCTCTTTCCAGAGCTCTGGTAAATGAGAACCAGGTCCATTGACTTCAGTGAGACTATCTATGACACTTGGTACTCTGCAGCATGAACGAGCGTACTCGACTATGACCCAAGATGTGTGCAATGCAAAACCAGAGCATCAATTTCCCTTGCAAATTCTTACCGTGACAGGTGCTGTTCTTCTCCTCGTACCCTGCCTTACACATGCATTTTCCAATGGGCACCAGCCATTCCCCTTCGGCACTGCAATGCATCTTTGGAGGCTCATCAGTCACAGAGTGGTTCACACACGAGCCTGACACTTCCAGCAGCTGGGAGGAATCTGCCCCAGTGATGGTGTCAGGAAAGAGGGCCAGGTTACGGATAATGGAAGGGCACTTTTTGTAATACACCCTCACGGAAACCAGGGCGATGCAGGCACCTACATCCTGGAAAGCCAAGTAAAATCCCTTTTTGGTCAGAGGCCCAACATCTCTGACCTCAGTGTTCAGCTTCATGACCCGGTCTCCAAGGTCTAGCTCAGTGAAGCTCTCATCGGCGGCAATGGTGTCAATCTTGATGTACTGGTTTTCTTTGACGTTCCTTCCATCTTCATCATCTGATTCAAAGTAATACACATTGAAAGTCTCTTTGCAAGTCCCGAGTCCTCCTGGAAGACTGTTACAGTCCCTCAGAGTGAACTTGAGTTCGATGAAGATCCGGGAGGCTCCTTCATTGGAGATCCAACTAGTCAGAAGCCAGTTGTTCTGATTCTGTTCCATTACTTTGCACACTTGATATGTGTGTATTGGTGCATAATTTTCATCCACCTCACCAATTTCTTCCCACTGTGCAAAAAGAGAGAGGATTACTTAAAAAAACGAACAAAAAAAGCAAGCAAGCCACAAATCCCTAAAAATCTTAACTTTCTTGCAAGAGAGCTGCACTACTGGAAGAAATGAGAATGTTAAAATGACAGAGATTTCCATACCCTAGGCCAGACCCAATGCCCCACAAAGAAAGAGCAAAGATTCCTACTGAACATAAAGGCCACTGAGTAAGCCCTTTTGTTTGGAAACAAGTGAGAACAGGTCCAAAATTCTTTTTTATTGTTGCTTTTGTTAATTATTGGTTTGTTAAGCAATCGCATTAAAAGAGATGCAGTATTTAAGGCAAGACTGTGGCTTACTCTATGCAGCTAGGCAGTGGAGTGAAGTTGTATAAGGGTCCCCCATTTTTTCACTGCATGACTCCACAGCATCACTGAACAGCACACAGGAGGAAAAGCAGATTCCTCAGTGCCTCTCTTCCCCTCCATACAGGTGGGCAGGGAATGGGCAGAGAGGGGCATGGAATATGTGGAGCTTTGGCAAGTCAGAGCAAAGAGAGAAGTACTCTGCTATCAATATAAATCCATAGCAGATTACTTCCCCTAGAGCAAAACTGGATGAATTGTGACCCCTGGACTACTCCAGGGATTGTGCACTACACATTGCATCTTATGCATAGTGCATATTGCATCTTATGCAGGGTACCAGGTATAGTCACAATCAAGCCATTAATGAGGATTGTCTAGCAACATTTCTGATTTCAAATTATTTTTAAATGTACCACTTTGAAGGAATGTTAGTCAACTGCACAGCTGCAAGAAGCACAGAGATATCACCTAGAATAACACCCTACAACGCTGAAGACTGCTTTCCGCTAGCATCCAAGTTCTCTCTGCTTTTCACAACTGATGTGTCACTTTTAAAGACCCAATCACCCCCCTAAGTGGTACGGTGTTGCAGACGGGAGCCTTGGTAGAACTAACAGGTTTTCAGTGTTGCTCATTTCTCCTACTTTTGAACTGTTGACCTGTAAGGATCTAATTCCTAAGATCTCTTTCATCTACTCTTGGGGTTGTTCAGTTTTGATGTTTGCTTCTGATTATATTGGCCAATGCATCATTGTGAGAACTCTAAGTACACAGAGTATAATGTGAACATGAGGCAGACCCTGGTAACAAAGTAATAGCCACATCGTGGGCGGAATACACTCTAAGGCTAAAGGCCTGTTTCTAACAAATATTGTCTGAAGCCTTCAGCATCAGGGTATTAGCTCAGGGCAGAGGTGACAGAAACCACCCTCAAGTTAGAATCACCAGGCTAATTGTTTTCATGAAATTTTTGACACACATTTTAAATGAAAGAGAAGGAAATAAATGACAGGAAAACACAACAGGCTGCTGGGCTGCTGAAAGGAGAAGCCGTAAAGCCACAGTAAGCAGAGCCTTTTGTCCCCTCCTCCCACCACTCCCTCACTGGTTGTGCCTACGTGACAGTCCGGTGGGCGAGTGCAGCAGGTGTGGATATACCCGAGCCGGCTTTCATCCAGCTAGAGGAAAGTTGGGTTGGGTAATAACAGCAGCGAAGCCGCAGCTGCGTGAGAGGCTGCACTGGCCACCTGGGGCCCTGGGTACTTACCTGAGTGGCCTCTGCCCATGTGCAGTCACACCTCCCAACTGCAGTTGTAGACATACCCACTCCCGCTGCATTTTCTCTTCTTGTTCAGTTCTCTCTAGCCTTCCCCTCACCTCCTGGCCCCACTCCCCTCCCTACAGGTTGACAGTCTCCCTTAGAATCAGGGCAATTTATTTCTGGTTACACTGTGTGTCAAAACCGATCTGGGAGGAAAGGCTGGAACGCTGGCAACATGAATGAAGGGCTTGCTTCACCCTCCTTGGCACATGGAGCTGCAAACTGGGGCCTCCTGTCCTGGTGAGGGTGTGGCTGTCACGACACAATCAGATCTACACTTACAGGGCCAGAGTCAGCCCCTTTTCTCTCAGTGAGTGGCACCTCACTCTGTAAGCAGTCCCCCTAAATTAGGCCCCTATCTGACAAAGGCTTACACGTGCATGACATATTATTAAAATGAGATTTTTCACCACCTTTTCTCGGCACTAGTAAATCAGATGTGACTTGGCACTGCAGCCGATAAAAGTGCGAGTTTCGAGTTGATGATGTCCCTTTCATTGAATCTGGTTTTGAGTTTATACAGAGTTAGAAAAGACCGTGAACGACAATGAACAGTTACTATGTGGGAATTGTCTGATCAAGGGTGCATGCCCATGCGAGAATGTATGAGAATGCACGGTGCTGGTGAGTCAGCTCCTGCACCAATGAAATCAGTGGAAGTTTTACTGTTCCCTTGACCGGGAGTAAGAGCTGTAAAGGGCTGACCTCACATTTTGTGAAGACAATGCTCATTGAAGTTAGGGAGGCAGTGTGGCCTAGCGGCTATCACCCTAGACTGGGACTTAGAAAACCCAAGTTCTATTCGCAGCTCTGCCAGTGACCTTGGATAAGCCTCTTTGTGCCTCAAGATGCCCATTTCACAGAGGTGCACTAGTTCTGACCTCCTTTGTGAACTTTGAAAACTACTGATGAAAAGCGGTATAGAAGAGCAAGGCATTTTACTTCAGTGGATGCATGGTAGAGGCCCAAATATGATATTTAGAGAGCAGCTGACCCTCCATATAATTTGCTCCATTTCCAAGTAATTACACTTTGCTACAGTTGACCATTACGCCATCTGACAATTTCTAACAATTGCTCTACTTAAAGGAGTGTGGAAAATTTGCAGAATGATGTTGCTTATTGTCTATCTGCACAAGACGGCTGTTCAGAACACCCAAGTCTCAGGCTCTCCACCACTGTGAAATTAAGCTGATTTTCATAAAAGCAAATCTAGGATTTGTGGTTGTGGGAATATACAGAAAAAGAAGGCTCGTTTGTTTAGATATAAAAATTAAATCCAGCAATATTTCCTGTTTCCTCCAAGTGCTAAAAAAAAACATAAGAGAGCAGATACACGCAGAAATAGATTAACTGAGCCAGATTCGGATCTCAGTTGCAGCAAGTAAATGGAGCATAACTCCACTGACTGCGGTCAGGATATGCCAATTTACAGCACTGTAGCTGAGATGAGAATCTGTGGCATCAGTCCCACCTGCCATCAAAAATAGAGCTGTCATCAGAGATGGAAAGGAAAAGGAGGTGCTAATGAGTTAAGGCTGCTTATCTCTGTACATTCACAAGGGAAACGCATCCAGATCTTATCAAGGCCTCCCACCTTTCACACTAGGCTCTGTCCTGCCATTTAATCTGATCTTCTTTCTTCCTATCTTCAGGTAGGAGAGGACCCTTTATTTCTCCTCTGATTAGGTGAACCACTTTGTTGTTGTTGTTGTTACTCTGGAGACTGTAATCATTCTGTTACCGTTCTGGTTCTTACATCCATCCCTGAAAAAGCGTCAGGGGCTAATCACCATCTTTTCAGCCTGGTCTTGACTTTCTTGATTAATATTTTAGACATTATACAAAGCACTTCAAACAGCACAGGAATAAAAACAAACTAGAAGGCCTAGCTGATGAAATATGTGCCATAATGGTTCATGAAAAAGAAAACCTGGCACATTAATATGACAACATCTAGCTGAATGTATTTGCATGAAAAAATTAAGTACAGCAGAACCGAAAAATTGCATTACACATTTGAATTCCTCTCTGCAGTACACACTTTTGAGATATAAATCAATGCTATCTGCAGGAGTAAAACAAAAACGCAACATTAATTTGGTGCTAAATGTTTCTTCTAAGTCTTTAATAGCCTTAAGAAGAACAACACAAACACATTGCAATGGCCTCATGGTAAATCATTTATAGAAGACCTGTTTCTGAATGAGAGATTTTCAGTAGGCTTCAGCTCGTGAGTTAACAGAAGCTAGAGATGCCCTTTCCTCCATCAATACGAGGGCATTCAGTTCACACAGACTGCCAAGGGAAAGGCCAAAAGATACCATGGATCCAAGTCAAAATACAAGCCAAAGAGCTCATGACAGTTCAGCCTCATGTTCAAATGCTAATTTTAAAGTACGTACACAAACAGGCAATGCCTCTTTCGATCTGTGCCATTTCAGGAGTCACCGCTTGATGATGCACAGCTATGGGTTGCTACTTTCTAAAAAAAAAATTACAGAGTGAGAAAAGGGTTCCAAATTTCAGTTGTAAGAAGAAAAGTATCATGAGAAACTTAGACACTGGTCCCTTAGGTCCTTCATTTAAAGTCGCCAAGGGGCACATGGCAAGACTCCATATTGCTTGACGGTGAGAAGTAAGAAGCTAAAAGAAGTACCTGAAAACATGTTACCGCTCTCGGGGGAAGGTTGCCATACAAGATCAAGGACAGTAAGATGGGACAGGGGATCTCAAACTTTTTCAGAGTGTGAACCACATCCCAGTAGACACCTCCCCTCCCATGGGCTGCCTCATGGACTACCTGAGTTCCCATGTGGTGATTATGCCACATTCATGTGGCCGCCCAGTGACTTGCTTACATGGAAACGTAACATTAGGAAAGTACTGATGTATTTTAAACTGAGTCTTATGAGATCAGGGTTTAGTCCATTTGGAAAAATAATTCATCACATTGTCTCTATTCCCACTTCGTTTTCTCTCCCTCTCCCGTCTATTTTATCCATCTCTCGCTCACCCTACTCCTTTGCACACATTACTTTGTCACTTGGTCCTTTTCCCCTCCCCCACATCCTTCCCTGATGCATGGTCCCCTCCCCGCCAGGGCATTCCATTTCCATGGATGGGTCTGCTTCCACTCACACCCCATGCTGCTGGCTCTCAGTTACAGGCCCTGAGTGCAGCCGGCCTTAAATAGGAAAAGGGCTAATGAATTATTTTTTCCACATGTTTGGTACATACCCAGAGCTACAGTTTCCTCCCAAACTGTAACCCACACCATGAGAAAACCTCACATTTATCAGGACAATATTCTCAGCCATCCAGTTATA